ATTAATCACTAATTTTATTTCTAGCTCAGGTTTTGAAAGGACTCGAATCTGAAAATTCGAAGTCCACCTGATTAGAACTGATTTCAAATTTTAATAGTTTACACCTTATCAACGGCCGTCCAGTGAGACGTTAATGTCTGTGTATCTTAATCTGACTGTGTGTATTTTCCTTGGCCACAGGTCAATACAATCATGATAATTTGTAAGCTCCTAGCGAGGTAACGTGATCTTGGCAAGGTTTGACTTTAAAATTATACGACACCAGACAATGATTCTTTATAAATGAAACATGAATTTATTGGCTATTCTAAATTACATTGACCTAAGCTAAGACATGCACATACACACACACATACATTCAGTTCTGAAGAATGAAAATGCTGTTAACGGAGTTCTGAGAAGTTCCCAAAGTTCTAACTCGTTTTCACGAGTGGTTTTAAATTCAGCCTGAGAGAATTCATAAAGCAGAGATTTGTCTTACGTTTGCTGCTTAAATCAGTCATCAGCGTCAGTTCAGCAGATAGATTTTGTTCGTTACTTGCGTTTTGCTGAAAGCTGAAACGGGGTTCCGGTTTTGGCTGCTGGAGGGAAATTCCTTTGCTGATTGGCTGTTGCGATGACGTCAGGATGACGTCCTTTTGGGAGAGCCCTCGTTGGATTGGTTGGTTGCCGGGTTACAGAGGAGCCTCTGGTTCTTCTGAGAGAGTCTGCTTTAGGAAGACTTTGCTTCTGCAGAGTTAAGAAGCTTCAACGGAGTAGTTGAGTTTTGGAGTCTAGCTTGTGCGATGTTACGGCATGGGAGCGCTTTTGTCGCGCTGTAAGGATGGATTTTACCAAGACTGAATTCAAGATTCCTATCCTGTAATAAAACAATAAAATTCACTAATCTGAGGAGAGGATCTGCGAGAAAGAGCGCAGGACAACACCTGGCTCAACCTCCTCTCTCCCCCCCCATGCTGAGTTCCTGAAGCCTCACGCCCTCTTCTTTCCCTCAGGCCATGCAAACCTCACAAATCTACAGTCCTTAGTTGTTTATTAAAGCAGAAATACTGTAAATTCGAAGAGTCATTTAAAGTTGGAGTCAGATTAAATTATACACGGAGTCAGAATTAAAATTAGAAACCAAATTTTAATAAATAAAGGTGATTGTTAAAGAAGCGCCAGAAAAGACTTACATGCAGAATACCTTCAACCAGGCTGTTGGACATCCTTCCTTGGGCCAACGGGTGGAGCTTACAAAGTGGTGACCAACCCTCCGTGATCCTCCAGTCTCAGGCGAGTGATGTCATCTGGCGCAACAATTCAGATCCAAACGGAGCATGAGGTTTGAGCTTCTCCTTCTCTGTCTGCAGCTGCTGTGGTAAGTCCATTTTGTTTGTCTTTTAGAAACTTTTGAGGGAAAACCTAGACGCACCTCATATAGACACATTTGTAGAACGGGTCGGAATACCCAGGATAGACCGGAACCGAAAAACCCGGTGGTGTTTGAAATTACTAGAGAAACAATATGGCTTATCAGGGAAATGGTAGTTCCAGTATAGACAGGGATGTAATGGAAACTCTTGCCTTGCAAATTAAAGATCTCCTTTTTCGTCTGCGTAACAAAGGAGTAGAATTTGATTGGAACAATGACAAAATTCTAGCCTGGTACGTTACCGAAGGACGAAAATTGGAAACTAAAGCTTCCTATCGAAAGCTACTGATTGCGATCGTTTATATGCTACGTCGAAATGATTTGGCAACTATTGCAGAAAACGAACGCATGATAGCAAACATAAAAGAGCTAGAAGCAACGCGATCAGATGAGCTAAAAAAGCTCAGAGCACAGGTTGAAGCATCTGTGTATGAAAAACAAACTTGGGCAAGACAGGGCGACATGATGGAAACGCAAATTAAAAGGCTTGAAAAAAAGCTGCAATTAGATAAAAAATACATATCCGCTCTCGAAACGTGCTGCGGGTCTGCAGGGTTTCCCGTAGCTGCGGTCAAAATAGCGGCGATAAATTCTAAAATTGGAAGCGAGCTAAACAGTGATAGCGATGAAGATGATGTTGCAGCTATAGCAAGCAACGTTAAGGACCATCTGTCCCTGACAGAGGTTCCTGATCGAACTTCAAGGACAAAACCTAGTTCGGTGGTACGCGATCCTTCTCCAGAACCCGCAAGTGACATGTATTATCGCCCAAATAGACCCGAAGAGAGGCAGCGCAGTACAATAAGGACTCGAACTAAATCTGGCGCTGTTCTCAGAAAAACAATGAAAGTTGCTGTACTTAAAACAATGACTAACGCAGGTGATGAAATCACTACTATTAGCCGTCCTTTAACTTGCGAAGAATGCACTAAACACAAAGAAGTTGTGGGAATGATGCCAAGAAAAGGCCCTTTCCAACCCTACTGGGACAACTTAATGCTACAGGCATCATTATATAATTTAGAGGTCAGAGATGTTTGGCAAATTGCTCTCCTCACTATTCCAGAGGAGCTAAAACCAAAAATGTCCCCTAAATTAAGATCTGGAGAAATTGTAGTCAAGCAAGAAGATGAGAATGAAAACGACGTGTATGAAAGATTGAGGGAGACTCTATTAGAGCTAAGGGGACCAACACACGCTGAATGGAATAGGATTTTGGAAATAAAACAGGCCAACAAAGAGCCATTTGAAATTTATGCGGAACGTTTATGGGTGACTTACAAAGAACACTCAGGTTTAGAAGATGCACAGCGCGATCAGGAAGTTTTACTTCAACTCCTGAAAAATAATGCAGGGCCTCGCATTCAGCAAGCGCTAGTTCATGGAGCCGATCCGTCTGAGAATACCTACCGGTCATTGGTGGATTGGGCTTCCAAAATAGAAAACAGGCTCAAACAAACCAAAGCTCGTTCCGTTTCAACAACACAATGGCTAGCTGAGGGGAAAGGTGCTAAAAAATCTGACCTAAAGCTCAAATCACAACCTCACTGTTACTTTTGCAGAAAAAATAATCACAGTACTCAAGATTGTTTTAGGCTAAGAAGGGCCCAAAATAGTCAGAAGATACATTCCAAAGCTGACAGCGAAATCTTTAGTCAGCTAGAGAATTTGATCATAAAAAGTAACACCCCAGAAAATGGCACAAAACAAACTGAAGAACAGTCTAAAAACCCGAATAACCCATACAGGTCTCTGCAAGCAGACCTTGCTAACCTGCTAGCAAAATATAACAATCCCCAATAGGGGTGCGTGGCCTCCGTTGCTGTAGGAAGCATTATCAAAAGCGGCAACCGAATCAAAATAAGAGTTAACCTTGGAGGCTGTTTAGTTAACATCCTCATTGATACCGGCGCCGCCTGCCCCTGCACAAACATTCTGTTACCCCTAAGCACGCAAACGATCCAGATTAAAGGTATAGGCGATACTTTGATGACAGCAACTCAAACACAGCCAGTTCAGCTCGATTTAGGCATGGTAGTGTTAAACGAACCATTCTGGTATTTACCAGATAACAGTGAAGGAACTGTATTAGGTATGGACATCATGAGAAAGCATGGCTTTGTAATTCATTGTTTTGAAAAACAAATTGAAGTGCAAACTAACAAACCAGCAAAGAAATGCATGCCTCGAAGCCATGTCAGCATTATGTCCATATCCAGTACAGAGCCGATTCAACTTCTCATCAACAAACACAGCGATGTTTGGGCTAATCATGAACACGACTGCGGCCTCACTGACTTTGAAGTATGCATTGAGGGAGAGCCCCCTCCCCCACAAAAACAATATCGCATCACGCCAGAGGCAGAGGCCGCTGTTCATGAGATAGTAAAACAGCTTGAGGTCAGAGGGATAGTTCGGTGATGCAGTTCAACCACAAATTCTCCGTGTTTGCCAGTTCCAAAACCTAATGGTAAATGGCGCCTTTGCATTGATTATCAGCGTCTTAACAAAGTTTTACCCAAGGCAACACCTATAGTGGCAAATCCGTCTACCATCTTATCACAAGTTTCAACCAACGCATCGTGGTTCACAGTGCTTGACATTAAAAATGGCTTCTGGTCTATTAAAGTCAAACGAGAAGACCAATGGAAACTAGCATTTACTGTAAATGAAATGCAGTACACATGGGAATGAATGCCACAAGGCCTTCATAACAGCCCAGCCATTTTTCACAGAGCTGTGGCAGATGTGCTCACTCCCTTACTAGGGACTGGCAAAGTAGTTCACTATGTAGACGACATACTAATAGCCACAGAAGGACCACTTGAGAACCACTTGCAGCTGGTTGACGAACTGATACAGATGCTAAGTGATGCAGGCTTTAAAATGAACAAAGAAAAAGCCCAAATTGCACAAAAAGAAGTACACTACTTAGGGTACACTCTGACTCAAAGCCACAAAGCCTTAACAGATGACAGAAAGAAATGCATTGCCGAACTGCCCCGACCTCATACTTTAAACTCATTGCAAAAAGTATTAGGTACAGCAAACTATTTACGAGATTTCATGCCTGATTTTGCAAATACCGCCGCACCGTTGTATTCGCTTTTAAAAGGCAAAACAAAGCCAAACGATGTCCTAGAATGGACTGACAAGCATGAGCAAGCGTTTACAGAGTTAAAACAACGATTGAGCGCCGCGCCCGCCCTGGGCTGGCCCAGCCCATCAAAAAATTTTCATATTCAAGTAGACGCACATGAAATCACATTGAGTGGAGTCTTAGCTCAGGAATATGGAGGAAAACTGCGCCCAATTGCTTATTACAGCCGGAAAAAATCTCTAGTTGAACAAGGTTTCGACCCATGTACACAGCAGGTGCTTGCGGTGCATTGGATGCTAAAAACAACAGAACCCATTGTCGGTTTTCAACCTGTTGTTGTACACACAATGCACACGCCTGTACGAATGCTGTTGCAGGGCCGGATAAAGGGAGTTTCCTCCCAAAGATTAGCAAGATGGCTAGCAGATATTCAAGCGCGTGAAATCACAATAAAAAACACACGAATTTTGCCACATCTGCTCGGGGATGTTGAGGGACATCCACACACATGCCAGTCTGAACAAGAGGCACAAAGCCTTGTACATGACCAGCTACTACCAGGCCAAGTGCAGGTGTACATTGACGGTTCTCGATTCTGCCAAAATGGTCACTTCTATACTGGCTGTGCAGTGTGGACCCCTCATCTTCCCAATACAGATGCAAAACAGCAGTTATTGCTTAAATTACCATCTAACATATCCGCACAAGAAGCTGAACTCGTTGCATTGCTAGAAGCGATCAAGGCACACCCTGAACCG